GTAACAGACACAGAATGTGCGCCCAACGCAATCTCCAAACCGACATGATCAGCGACTTTGATGGTTGATTATCTAGATAAATATAATGTAGAAATGCCGGTTGGACTTGCAGACGGCGAAACCAGTTGTAGAGTCGTGCTGGAATCCTGTAAACAGGCATAAACGAGACATCAAATATTAATGGTGGTTGTCTCTGGAGTGCGGGCAAGGGCTGCATGTGATCAAGTCTACATCGATGTCTGAACCTTAAAAGAATCCTACATGAATTGGGAAACGGTACTAAAAGCAACCTGTCAATACGACTGAGTGCTACAATCATCATTAGACATGTTAAGTATTGTGTAGCAATATATAGGAAGAGAAAAACATACAACAGAGGAACGCCAGCTGAGTCACCAGTAATGGATGGGCATAGTTCCGGAGAGCTAACAGACGGTTATTGCGCTGCAAAGAGAGTTAAATTATGCCTAGAAAATGAGACCGTAGTTGGAGTAGGCTAAGCAGAAAGGGGAGGGAGAAAGAAACTCACAACACAAACATCATTGAGGTCGGATCCTTGCCGTGTCAACAGGTGTATCCTGCAAAAGGTGTTCATTGTCTTTCGGACACCAACCAGGGAGCCGCCAACCGAGGCCAACTTAGAACTAAAAGCCTTCATTCCTTCTGACCAAGTCATAGCTTGACCACCTCTACTCTTCTTCCATTCACACGCCCGTCGCGCAAACAACGTACGTCGCGGGAGTCGGTGTGCTTGTATGCGCAACACTGGCTCAGCCATCGGAGCCTGGTGGGTGAATTAATGGTGCTGAGCGGTTCACTTCTTCATGTGACATAAACAAGGTGCCGAACACGCTCATTGCGCTGGTGGGAACACCGAGTGAGCAATGAGTGTGTTCGACACCTTGTTTATTGCCCAGAAAGAAGTGAACCGCTCTGCACCGTTAGATAACACACCAGGCTCCGATGGCTGGGCCAAACTGTGAGGGCACTGGTGGCCGAATGTAACTAGCCACTTTATGTCTGCTGAGCTAATGGGTCAGGTTTCACACCCGTACAGCAGGGTCGAACGCACGATTGTATTGCACACAATACCCATCAGGGCGAGTGATGTCACACAAGTTGCATAGGTGGCGAAAGTGAGAAAAAGCGCCGCGTGCTTTGCAATGTTGTTTGTGAGCTGCCATATACGAGGGCAATGTCGTCAGCATACTCCAAGTCAAAAAGTCGATCAGCTAGGAGCAGTACCACACCGTGTAAATCGTGTCCTGTGAGCGCGATCTCCATGACTTCGTCAATGGCGAAGTTTGTGACCGCGCCTTCAAATCTAACGCCGCTAACACAACTGTCCAGCTAGTTGAATTTTTGTACGACTTCTAACTGATCCCCACCAAGGGTCAGCGCAGGACCCGGTTCCTAGCAACCTTGCAGGAAAGTCTAGCACTTCGAAGGTACAAAGCATAGTCCGAAACCGCAGACAGCCAGTGCCAATCTGTCTAATGCCTCGTGGCACATTTGTGAGCTATCACACAAGACGGCAATGTCGTGAGCACACTATAAGTCAAGAAGTTGATCACCTGGGAGCAGCTACAAGCCTTCTAAGTTGTGCCCTGTGTACGCGATCCCCATGACTTCGTCAATAACGAAGTTAATGAAGAAAGGCGACGGCGGGCATCTTTGTCTTTTACCGCTGGATATAGTGAAGGGCGACGACAGCTGACCACAAGCCATGACTCTCCCCGAGCTACGCGCATATATCGCTTGGATGATATTTACATATTTCTCTGCCACACTCTTCCTGAGTAGGCAGTCCCAAAACGCACATCAATCAACGGAATTGAAGATGCTTTTGATTTCACGGAACACGACAACGGTGGATCGCCAATATGCTTGGAGGTGTTGAAATATCGATCATCAATACACGTTAGTCGAGGGTGAGAAGCATACCTCAGCTAATGTACCACAATACAAAAGGTAAGACGTTAAGCAATGTAGGCTTAAAAGCTATAAAAAAGTAACATAATACTAGTATCACATGTTTGATGGTCGTTGGAGGGGGAAGGTAAAGGGAAGGGGAGGGGCAAAAAGACTCACAAAACAAACGCCACTGAGGTCAACTCGTCGCCATGTCAGCTAGTGTATCCAACCAAACGCGTTCATTCTCCCTCTGTCCCCAACTCGGCTGTCAGGAAACACCAACAGAGGCCAACTTCGAAGTGATGGACTTAATTCCTCTCCACCAAGTCATCGCTTGGCCTCCCCACCTCCTCTTCCAACCGCACCCCCGGCCCGCAAACAACGCACGTCGCTGGAGTACGTGGGTTAGCATGCGCAACACGTGGCCCAGCCATCGGAGCCTGGTGTGTGATATAACGATGCTGAGTGGATCACGCGCACTTCCTGCACCAAATACGCGACGCCGAACAAGCTCACTGCCCACGCGATGCTCCCACCAGATATGAGCTAAGCTGCGATATCAGCAATGATCCAACGTGACAAGCCTCTTTATGTCGGCCGATCTAACGGGCCAGGTTTCGCAACCGTACAGAAGGGTTGAAAGGACGACTGCAGTGTAAACTGCCCCTCAGTGTTCGGCTCAATGCTCTTAGCGATTTGACAAGCTCTGGATCGCCTGTCCAGGCTCGTCGTATATAGTCTCACCAACGCCAGGTCTCCTGCTACCCGTTTTCGTATCAGATGGAATAACTTCGGATGGTTACCAAAGGAAGAAGCTGTCTCTATCTCCGAGGCACGATGACACCACCAGACTTCGTGGTCTCTCCTCAGGCGAGCACGCACTTTCGCCCTGAGATCTTTGCGAGTCGCATCGTATTCGCTTCCAGCCGGAATAGGTTGGCGAGCACCCAGACCTTCCAGAGACTGCGTGGAGACCCTATGTCTAGGTTGGCGATTTGCATTGCCACATGGAGACATGCATGTTGATAATAGCGTCTGGCGGATTTGCGACCAGTGATCTTCAAGTGTGTTCAGAGAGCGCTTACTCAGCTCGGATACCAGTGTACTTTGATACGCATTCAGAACATCTGACTTCACCAGTTGACGAATGTCAATGTGCTCACAGTGTCGTCGCGGACGTCCGCCAAAACGCAGTCGCAAATCAGGAGCTGCAAGTGCATGATCAGTGTCCACACACGTGCTCCAAATCGACAGACAGTTTTGGACACAGCCTCTTCAGCGATAACTGATGGTAATGTGATCGATTTGCGTCCATTGCCGGTTCGAGGCTAGTAGGCACCATGACAACCTCCGGCGAGCATCTTCACACAGGTGTAGCAACCGCACACCGTTACCATTACGAGAGCCTACACCGCCTTGGCCGCGCCGATAAAGCTCATCAGTGGATAATTTTCCAACTCGAGCGTTCAGATCCCCAGCCAGCACTACAGTGTCCGTGTTTCTGCTGTAGCGGAGGAGCTCGTTCAGTTGGCGATAGAAGTTGTCTTTTACTGAGTCATGGCTATAGTTTGTAGGGGCGTAAGCAGCGATGTCAAACAGATGCTTCTTAGCCCCGCGCGACATCGAAGCTTTGAACGAAGCAACCAATGAGACCGCACACATCTGGCTACTGATTGGGATCCAATCAACCAGAACAGTTTCAGTCCCGGGACTCAGGGCAGTACCAACAGCGGCTTGGTCGGTACTTGAAGCTGCATCGTCTCAGGATAGACGCAATGAGAAAGCACTGCTAACGTCACCTGAAGGTGATCGGAGAGTGAGAACAGAGCTTGGGTTTTATAGGCGGGTTTCCGATAGGCAGCAGATATCGAGCGAGAGGGTATCTAAAGTTCGGTTAAGTGATGACTGTTGATCGATATGTAACAACGTGCGTAGGTTGAGGCATTCCAATCAAAGAAAAAACCGAGGACCCCAAAAAGAAGCTGATGAACTGGTTTTGACTGCTTGGTTAGACATCTGCTTTCGATAAAGCATCTGAGTTGAAAGTAGAAGATAAACGCTTATCGAAGCATGGTTGGGGAGGGCCAAGAATTAACGGTTGAAAACGCGGGGGGATAAAAGTGAAGTTGGGGCGGGACGATAAGGATGAAAAAGCACGAGGGAGGGAAGAAGACGGGGACGCTTGAGCAGTAGCATCCAAGCACCTATCCACCCTGCTCGATGCAGCAGATAGGGCACCGTTTATTATTCTCTGTGACGGCCAGAGCATCAAGAAATTGTTAGGAGAAACATTTATTGTATTGCGCAGGCAGGATACTGTCAGGTTGCTCAGACCTAGACAGGAAAACGATTAGGGTTCTTAACCAAAGCCTCTAATTCAAAAGCCTTACCGCAGGACAGTGAGGTTGTGTCACTACAAAGAGTCCATTCTGTGGTGTAAGGATCTACCTTCACATCAAACCCCAAGCTGGAAGGCCAGAAGACTGAGTTTGTATGGCCTCTAACCATTGAGCAATCTGGTATGAGTAGATAGGAAAGTGCAAAAAGCACCACTCAGCTCAATACATCACTGAGGCGCGCAAACTATCGCATCACGGTAACTTCCAGCCTCTTCGCGACTGAGCGACAAGCGCTTGGACCGAAACTCCCAATATGTACGGCGAGAATACTCGCTTAAGGCGGTAGAGTGTGATGGACTCGGAAAAAGGGGGTATCAAGGATGGGGGGGGGGAATGAAAACAAGCGAGACAAAGTAACTGGATGTTGGCGCAATAGAGCGCGATTTAGCAGGTTCGGCTGCCAGTACTTCGTTTGGGTTAGCGTTTCCACAGATCAATGAGAACGACTAGCTGTTGAGACATCGTTCCATAAGTTATGTGGGCGTGGTACTTCTCGGGTGTCAGGCCTAGAAGGAAGTTGGCTTAGAGGACCCTACTTTGCCAACTGTCAACTGATTTAACCATCACAATATTCATTAAAGCCATATGGTTTATGGGAAGTGGATACATCGTTGGCCGCAGTGAACGGAGCAAAGTAACACACGCGGAGTTTGTGGGCCGAGAAGTACCAGGTATAAGGAGACTTACATGTTAGATGATCCGCTAGACACTGAGTTCGCCTGGGTGTTTGCACAGCGATCGCTCGCGGCTACGGAATTCTTCGGCTCCGAGGGGATATACGCCTTGGGTAAAGTTGGCGGCTGAAAATAAAACATGGAAACGCATGGGCAAGAAGAGGGTAGGTAAGAATGACAACGGTTGGATATAATAAAACAGGAACGGGTTAGCAGCAATGACTATTGAAGGAACCATTGGGCAGTTAGGAGGGAACGACTTTGGAAAAAAAAGTCTTACAAAAAGCTGATCATTTGGCTATTTTTAAAATGACCGCAAAAATACGCAGTATGTGTGAATAGGAGTGCAGTTATGTGAAGAGGTGACTAGCAGGTCAGCGTGTCATACACACATCCTGAAAGCAGTGAAACACAAACGATCGATTGTTACGGTGGAACAGGGAAATTGGTAAGACTAAGGCAAAAACACGGTAACCGACTACCGGAATGCGCTGGAGGTGCAAACTTTGTGCGACCAGCCAGGCTATGGCCAGAATGCGAGAATAGTCGTATATGTGTGCATGCAGACTGGATGTGAAACGCATGGGAAGGAGTCATAGATAAATGAGGTGAACAGTGCGAAAAGAGGTGCGCTGAGAGAGGAAACCAGCGTTTGGATTTTGCAGATGTCAGTTAAAATAGATTGATGAGGTAAATGTTCATGGAGTCCTAGAGCAGAACGCAGTACAGACAAGGTGTAAAAAAAAGCCTTTCGAACGCAAGGGGAATAGACGCGTGTAACCGCAATGATTACGACAAAAGAAAACGGCAAACTGCGTGATGGATTCACTCACTGGGCCTGGTCAACTGGTAGCTTCAAGAAATCAGCCTCAGTAGAAAGAAAAACGAAAAATCGTCAACATGCTCATGAAGGAAGAAAAGATGGAACATTTAGGGAGAGTTGACCATTTGTCATTGCAGATGTCTTTTAAAAGTAAGATAGCCTTCAGTTTAACGTGCAAGCCTGGTTTTCGAATGTGCCCGTTCGATAAAGCGGCGGATAGCACAAAAGATCGAGCCAAATCAGTTCCCGTGACCGAGCTTTGAAGATTGGAGATAGATTGTGTTAACCGGAAACGTCAAGTGATTCCGCAAAGATTTGTACGTGGCACGGGCACTAATAGTCGATGGCTCCTAACAGCACGAGCATAGATGAAAGTGCTGCTACTCGATCTATTAAAATAGGTTAGCAAGCGATCTGGAAGTTATCAATTCGATTTGTGGACAAACAGTCAATTTATTCGCTAGGCGAAGCTCTGCTTTTGACACAAAAGCTTCTTCAGGAGCTAGCGTACAATTGGATGGCAGTTAGAATACGCGCTGCCCGGTTGTTTACGGGCCCTCCAGAAATGAAAGTGTCACCACTTAAAATATGATTCTAATGGCTAGATACACGAGTTTAAGTAACAAAAGTGAGAATAACAATTCTTCGGTTTCCTCAGGTACGCCTGGTGACGCATGATCAAAAAAGTGCAAGCACTTGCATCAGGTCGATCGCAATTTGACCAAAAATGATGGTGAATAATGAAAATAATTGAGATTCTAAAAGAAAATTTGTCCACTTGGGCAAGAGTTGTACAAGTAAGATTTTATCCATGGTCGTTTACAAGACCTAAGCCACAAGGCGAGGCGTAGCTAGATCAGTGCCATGGACACGGAAAGGTAGGTTTAGAGCAATATTCGCGAATGTAAACAGAAGTCGCGAAAGATGTTACAGGCGTAGGCCCTGAATATGTTAGTTGTGGACAAGTGTGGAATACGGTGCGGTCGTAAAATGTACAGTGGTTGTGTATGGCACGTTAAAAACGATATACGATACGGCGGCACACCGTACTGACACCTTTCTGTCACGCAACCACCGGCGGCTGCATGGTGGGGTTGAACACTGCGAGATCGCATTCACATAAGCAAATTAGAACCACTGAAGCGCAGATTACAAGCTGAAATCCCGAACCTCTCCATTCCGTGAAGCTTCAGTTCCCAAGTGGTGCGACAGATGGCTCAAACAACGTGATTAGTTTAAGAGCAACCAGTGACGGAGACGTTTACACTGCCAGGTGGCTTACAATTATGAGGCAGCCAGAATGATGAAAAATAAGAAATGATGCAGCACGATTATTTTCTGATTATGTAATCAGCAGTATTCTAATGTGGGACCGGAAATGAGAGCCTGCTTTGGACACGATTTATTCGCAGAGCAGAATGTATAGATACAGGTGGTGTAGACATTGCTAAGGAGCTGATTCCGAAGCAAAAAGGATATTGTGTGGAATAATCGCACTTGCGTCAATTCGTTCAAAGTGGAGAAGCGTGGAAGAAGACAGTAATCAGCGCACTCCAAAGTACACGCTGTCAGTTTAGTCGAAACTGTGGAACCGGGAGCAGGGTTTATGTGGAGAAGTCCCACTAAGAGTTCATATGGTCTTGCTGCTGATCCCTCAGAAAAGCCCGACCTAAGCGATAACGATATATAGGCCTTAATCAAACATGCAAAATTATGTCGATTCAATGTGGTTCAGTGACCTCAAGCTGGGTACGTGACCCAAGAGGATACTGCACTGAACACCGGAAATTCAAATCTGTACAACTGCATCGTGATATGATGAAAAACATTGCAAAAATAAAAAGCCGATGACTTGTCAACAATGATGGTCTTTCAAGTTCTCATGTGATATCGTAAAGAGAACGTTTAGCTCACAGTACACTGGGACCCAGAAATGTGAGATATCATAGTCAGTAGGTAATCGTTCTCGCAATCTACCATTGGAAAATGCATTGAATTTGCTTAAACTACACGATTCGCAAATCATTAAACTCATTGGCTACTCGCCATTCAAATCACAGAGGATGGGGAACTCGTTTCAGCTCTGGCACCATAAGCATGTATAGGTCTTTGCGTGTGCTACAGGATGCTCGCAAGTGGAGCCAGTGGCCCCAGCATGGGAAAGTTACCTAGGTGTAGAATGTGGTAAGCAATTAGGAGCTTCACTTGCACACAAAGTATACAATCCCAGTTTCCCACATCTGTCTTCGTACGGTAAGACCCGTAAACTGGGTATGAGTGTGGTAGCAACGTGCTGAACCCGTTCGATCTTCAGCTGCTTGCTTTCAGTGGTCGGGTAATAGGTGGGCGAGCAGTACTTTAGTCGTGGTCTTACGATGGAGGAAGAGCTGTGGCAAACTCTTCAGCTCAGCGTTTGGGCGTCCAAAGTATGGGCAATCCGTGGTCGTGTAGCCTGTTCGTGTCGTTCACGGACTGCAAATCGTTGGGTGAGAATACAACAAGAAAATTCGCAGGTGTGGGATGTAGCGGTTTACCGTCAAGAGTGTGGGTTTGAGCGTCACCACCTATACCTAGACTAAGGAATCCCGCCTACGCTGGGTTTACCGTAAGTCGGAATTTTGCAGACGGTTTAAGTAGTCGAATAAGACTTGCAATGAGATCACTTTTCGACAAGTTTATTAGAAATTTACATCTAAAGGTTTAAAAAGCACAAGAAGATATCTGAAGCTGAGGGAGCGATTGGTTGGATCACAGGTTAAAGAAAGGCCAGTGAAGCCAATCGATAGCTCAATCAATGTGATCAGGTGGTAGACGTAACGCGCGTACCCACACACACACACACGGACTAAAACACGCATAAAGCAAGAATGAATTGGTCGGTGGGGCGACAAAGATCACAGTCAACCGCGGTCAATGTTAGATACGGGCGGAGTGCATTGTTCCGGCCAATGCAGGGTGAGAGATTGTACTAGCGTCCTCTGCTTGCATAACTCCGGTTTGGGTACTGCCGAAGTAGACCGCAGTCGTCGGAAGTGCTAACCACTGTCCACATCTTCAGGTCGTTTGCAAACAAGGCACACGATGAAGCTGAGACAGATTGTTGTTATAAATCAGAAAAAGTGTAAGCCCAGCATTGTGCCTTGGGGTACGCCATTGTTCGAAAGATACCAGTCGGTCAGATGGTTATCCACTTTCGTCCAACGAAAAACTCGCTATTCTACAAGTGCAATGAGCCACCAACCACGATCAGGATATAAGCCAGTTAAATAACATAATGGCACACGACGCCATCTGACTACAAAAGCCTGCGGAAGAACCGGGTGAAAACCACTGGTATTTGACAACAAATTCGTGTGCGCTGCACTGGAATGTCTGCTGGAATCAAATGGTCTGCAGTAGCCAGCATGCAATGTTTTCCGATATTGCTCTGAAGGAGGAGCAATTTCGAGGTGGGCAGGTGAAGGCTTGGCATAAAAGCATGAAGAAGCTTACAGGAAGACTGAGTCGAGTTGATGCGTGATATCTCCCTACACAGATGCATCTTAACGTGAGTCAAGGTAACCGGATCTAACATACTCTTGTGCATGAACCGCAAATGACCAACTGAAATGAGTTACATTTGGGTGACACAAGAATAGTGTGAAGTGTGGAAGTCGGTAGGGTGAAAACCGGACATCAATGGCAGTGACAGAGAATTTCCTTAAAATGCAATAAACCACTAACCGGTTTCGAAGGAAGGCTCGAATCCAAAGTTAGATTGCGTGGTTTTGGGGGTCGAGCCGGTGGAGTAACAGTGGAGAAAGACGTAGGAACAGATCTGTTGGGTACACCGGGTGAAGTACAGGAAGAACTTTTGGCGGTGCTGTGAGAAGGCGTAGAATTATCTTGACGGCTATCGCAAAGTGAATCCGGATAAAAAGGTGATTAGGAGCTGCTTTCCATCAAAAGTCAAAAAGAGTGGAAAATGGGACTGTAAAATGTACCGCGGAGAAATCCTGTGAAAAACAGCCAAGACAGGTAGAAAGTGACAAAATACCTGAGCTGTAGTGAAAGGCGATTTGAGGTGCAAATGTCGCGTTTTTATAACCAAGAAATCGGTAGCTCAGGTGAGAGCAGCAGGTATGCTTCGTACACAGGAGCACGGAAGGTACGGTTACCCTTATTTATGTCAACATGTACCGTAGCAGAGATACAGACAAAGAATTAAAAGTCGTACATAATCTACACCATCTTCCAGCAATTTGCATACATAGTACAGTCGAAATGCTCCTTAAGGGACTCATATTCCGCAGTACCACTCAACTTAGTCCATAACGCAGTCAAATTGCATGCTGTTTATGCACACTTACATAATGGGTACCATTCGTTTTGACCTGTAGCGAATTAGCCAATAGCATTCCGACAAGCATCGTAGTGCCAGTATGACTGTTGAACTCAGGCGCATCTGAGGTGCAATACGATCGCGCTTTGGGAGGTAGGTCCAAGCAAGGTAAGAGACATCTGCGTGGTCGGTAGTTGAGACATCGCTATTCGGACCTCAGTCGCCGCTCATCTAGGTGCGCAGTGTCTACGCGCGCTCTCATTGGACAGTGGGGTGTGCGGAAACGGGTGCTGGTTTACGAATTGGTACAAATCACGGAGCTTGGGTATAGAGGTAGCACGAAGTGAGCACAGTTTCTGAATATAGGCAAACGCAGATGCCGCAGTGGGTATTTCCGAAACACACGCTAACAAGGAAGTGAGTAGGAGATGCCATCAATCCCACTGTGAATGAAGTCAAACAGTCTCACAAAGAGGGCTTGAGCAAGCAAACGAGATTTCCGTTTGATGCCAGCATACAGGTGAGGCACGGAGGGCCAGATGACTAATAGTGGCTTGGTAATCCAGGTTAATTTCTGCAAGAGGCCAATAACTTACCTCATTTTGATACCGCCTCACGCTATTTCGACCAGAGTCTCTCACTTAGGGGCGCAATGCAAACTGCCGTTTGATCTCGGAATTAAGTTGGCAACTACGTATGGAAGGGAACAAAGTCCAGCGCAAAGGAGCGTCTATAATATACCAGAAGTGTCGTGGCACACTTAAACATCCCCACCCAGACTGTTTGTATTCGACTCAATTATTTACCCACAACGTTGGCAACTACACGTTTCGTCGCCAACACGAAATGACAACATTCTAGACCTTGGCTTCACTTCGGGAATTCCCGATGAGAACGTCAGGATCCTGGACAAACTTCCAGGCAGTGAGTATAACGTGATGCTATTCAATTTCACTCTGTTCGCACAAACATCGAAGACCGAGTACAATGATATATTCTACTGTCCATACTGTTCGATCAACTGGGACGCTAGCAACGCTAATAAGGTCTATGCCGTGGGATAGATTCTGCATCACATGCGACTCAGAAGTTACCTTTGACAGCTTTAATCATCAACCAATGTTTAGATAATATCGTCCCAGTTCTGCTAAAGCAACACCCCAAAACTACAGCGAAGGCTACGTGCCAGCACCTTTGTTAAAGGAAAAATCAGCAAATTTCTAAGCATTTACACCAAAGCTCATGATTTCATCATACCATATCAGGTTCATGATATACTATGCAAGTTGGAATCTAGTCGAGCTGATAGATAAACAGCGAGCTCACGTAGACTCAAATAAGCCAAAGGAGCATATACAGCTTCTAACGAGAGGAGACGGATGGAGAAACGACGGTATCACCTCCATTGCAATGTCAAACTCCACGTCCACTACACGTCCTTCAACAGCAACATATAGGAATAGCACACCATACCGTAAAGATAGCTTATAGACGGTACATTGTGGACAGTAGATTTCCCTATAGCAGAAATAAATTGCTCAGTGCTATAAACCCGTCCTTTAGTAGTGGTCCTTATTGTAACATTGAGGTCCGGATATCCCTATTCTTTTACAAAACATTTGTACCTTATCAATGAAAGCCAGTACTATTCCGCCTCACTGGAAACATGCTGATGTTGTAGCAAGATATAATAAAGGTTTGAAATGGGATGTTGCAAATTATCGCCAGATTGGCCATACTACCATACATCATAAAATATTAGAAAGGCTACGAGTTGCCAGTTTCTAATATCAAGGAACTTAATCAGACAAGTACAACATGGCTTTAGCAAGCAGTGTCCAGGTCAGTTTTGCCAACTAGACCTCCTAAACCGCAGCACCAGCTCAGTTTACGGTGATAAAGCTTATAGCATCAAATTCTTTGACATGCAAAAGGTTTTTGACAAAGTGCTCCATGGTAGGCACTAGCAGAGTACGGTATTACCGACCGTATACCTTCTTGATTCTCTTCATACCTTACCGACAGAACCCAAATAGTCAAGATGGGTAATCACACATCCTGTCGTACTCCCGTGGAAAATGGTGTTATTGAAGGCAGTGTTCTGGGACTAATTCCCTTCCTGATGTACGGAAATGAGATTTCTGACATTATTGTCAGCGGTAGGCCTTACACGTTTGTGGATGATATAAAAGTCTGGGGAATGGGGTTCATGATTCCAGACGTACAAGTTAGCCTGAATGCACTTGAAGGATGGCGTTGCATATCTAAAATGAGTTTTTTCTGTCGAGAAGAGTTATATATCTCAACTGATGTGATGCAAATGCACAACCGTTAACATTCTTCGGCAAATCTATTGCATGTGGTAACCAAATTGAGTATGCCTTCTTTGGTGTGTCACGCGTGAAATGGAGAACAGACATTATTATTATTATTAATATTATTATGTGGGAGACTTAGAGAACCACCATTCCAACAGCCCTAACTTCTCCGAACACGTACAATACACCGTCATTAAAGCCAAGGAAGAATGCATTGCTTCTTAAGTTCGTTGCCTTAACGAGTGCAAAACTTACACTGCATAAGACTTGTACACACCCAATGTCAGAATACTTCTCAATGATATTCAACAATGAAAGGCACAGTGACACTGTGACGCTAGAGCGCGTTCAACGCTTTCATAAGACAGATCCTGGGCTCCACTCAGAGACTGACATAATTTGAACACTACAAACTGCTTACGATAGACCCGATAGGGCTGCGTAGGATAAAGCTAAACATCTCGCTACCTTTTGACGTAATTGTTGGGCGCATTTACACACCAGGACACTCCCCTCAACTACAACACACTGAACACTAACCTATCCGTAGAGAAATATTCACACTGCCAGTTCCAAAGTCGCGCACCAACGTGCGTGCAAACGTTTCCTTCATTAAATATACATCGGAGTTGTCATAAACATCTCTAGTGTTCCGTGTACTGATAGAGAAATTTCTCACAGTTCCAAAAGTTATGAGAATCCTCAAGCCCAAAAATTGCAGAGAAAGGAGTCTCCCTGCAGGAACAACACGACATACAGTGTTATGTTCGTAATACTTCTCAGTCCTAAATTAATATGCTTAACATGTCATGCATGCATGTCACAGCAGAAGCCGAAATGAGAAGACAGATCGAATTTACATGCCCATCCTTGCCTCTTTATCCGAACATACCAACCTCAAGGTCTCCATATAAATATGGCGGTTGAAGAGGGGGGTTAAACCGAGTTCTCATCTTCATTTATGTGACCAATGTTAGATTCTTTCCTTACTCGGACACACTGACCTCGCAGCTTTTATGTCTACATGGGATTCAATGACGGAAGGTAAACCGATTTTTAGTTGTCACTCCGTCACGTGATCAATGTTAGATCCTCTCGTTAATCGTCCATACTTACCTCGACTTTGATGTCCACATAGAATCCGGGTACTCGTCCTCTTTAACCCGATGACGGTCACACTGTTCTTCCCCAATCATTTTGCACAGCGCACGTTCGGATGACAGCTACTGCTACTTCTGTCACAGATACGCATACGTGTGAAACAGAAAATCATTAAACATTGATGTACTAGGTGATTAGGTTCGCGACACCTTAAGCGTTTGAGTACCATCTCTACTACGGATGCCGAAATATTAGCAGGACCACCGACGATCTATGGAAACACGGGTCTGACCAACAGTAGTGAAGTACCATCTCGAACATAATATGAATAATTAACATGCATGTCTCCCGCACCTATCTTTGCCCATTATATGCTGCTGAACATATCATGATAGACTTGTATCATACTTCCCCACCCACGACGCATTGGATTTGCTAGAACTGACTCCACCATAGCGGTCCTCTCCTCTTGTGTATTGGTTAACCTGTTCGTTCACCTGAGACTCGCTCAATTACAGTGGACAAAGCTATAAATACGCCCGGCTGATTGGCATCGTGCATCCATACAATAACGATGAGGCATTGGACCTTCTACATGAAGAAACAACGATACTACTAGCTCAAGCCACTTCGCCTGAAACGCCTCACTCTCCATTCAGCTACTCTCACTCCGCTGCAATGACAGACTACACCGCAAGTCAAGCGTATATCGGCATGACACTGACGCAAAACTGCTACCTTGCAATAACTTCGCGAACTACCAACTAATATGTGACTGATACAGTGCATCTTGTGTGATTGATTGACCATGTTAAATGACGCGTGTCTTGCCAAATTAGGATCACATATACTTTGTCCATTTAGTTAAAAAAGCAACAATTTTGCAATGGTCTTGTACGGTTTGATCGCACCAACAACCTGGGCCGTGCCTCGCAAAGTCGAGAACTATTTATTTAATTATTAAATACCGCACTGGTGACGGTTCCAGAGGTATATCTGCAAATGACTCCCAGAGGAATCACACAGGTCAACTCTGATCGGTAGAACAGCTCCCGTGCGGGATGACAATCACCAACTTAAGGTAGGGTAAGGTATTTGATAGGTGCTTAATTGCAGTGCGGATGAAAAGCACTTTGTTGAATGTGTAACAAT